GTCGTCTTCGAGGTCGACCTGTGGCTTTAAATCTACCCAGTGTAGACACCCTGGAAAGAAGAAGATATCAGCTGCTCACTACTCAGCAGCCAACAGGTTTGCTTAATAAAAATTGCAAACACTCTTATTGGTGGACTAGCCTAGGGAATAGGCCAATAGGGATCTTCACTTCGACTAGAGACCGAGTAGGCCTACCATTTTTTGATAGTCAGTGTTGGAATAAATAGGAAATTATTGCAGTTTTGGGACAGGCAACTAGTCTAGTTGGAGGGCGTTGCTTGATTTTGAAGTTTTGAAGAAAAATCAGTAAAATGCCTAAGCAGTAAGCGTAAGCCAAGGCTAAATGCAAGAAAAAAGAATGAGATCATCTGGAGTTTAAGCATCAATTCCCATCAAACCTATTCCTATTCTACACTACATCCAATGTGGCAATGTCAGCATCACTAATACAGTAATAGGGTAAACATGCCAACGCGGTATATTCCAACATCGTAATTTGTGGGTAATTCCGAAACTTCTCAACTTTTTTCCTTTATACCGTAAAATTGGGTAACTTAGACCACTTTTTTTTAGAAATGATGCCAATTTTTTACTAGCTAAATTAAACTTGAATTGAAACATGCAAAATACAGGTCTATACTCTAGCAGTCTAGCTTCACTCACCATAAATTGCTGGCTCCTGCCTCTCATAGTCTTTATGTAATTTCAAAAAAAGTGATGGTCTTTGTTACCCCAGCTCTTGGGGTAACTTAGACCGGGTGGTAAAATAATGCATTGTAGTAGAACTCTTCTAGTTACATATGCAAATGACAAATTTTAGGAAAGTGTCATAGTTTGCAAATGGGGGGCACTGCCCCAAAATGGGGGAACTTAGACCACCTAATGTCAGCCCTGATGGGGAACATAGACCGGATTGAGAGTTAATATAAAATTACCATATATAACATTTTATGTTTGACAGCCTATTTATGTTTTTTTCTTTATGTTTCAGACTCTACAGAGTCTTATATATGGTAATTTTAGCTTAATTTCCCAGCCAGTCAATATTACCCTGTCAGGGCTGTCATTTGGTAGTCGCATTTCCCCCATTATGGGGCATTTCCCCCACTTGCAAACTGTGACACTTTCATCAAGTTTGTCATTTGCATATGTAACTAGAAGAGTTCTACTACAATGCACCAAAACCTGGAGTTATTTATAGTTATTTTACCAGAAAATATAATTGATTTTACCACCCGGTCTAAGATACCCCAAGAGCTGGGGTAACAAAAACCATCACTTTTTTTGAAATTACATAAAGACTATGAGAGGCAAGGGCCAGCAATTTATGGTGAGTGAAGCTAGAGTATAGACCTGTATTTTGCATGTTGCAATTCAAGATAAATTTAGCTAGTAAAAAAATGGCATCATTAAAAAAAAGTGGTCTAAGTTACCCCATTTTATAGTACCAATGTCACACGAAGAATTGTCTGATTCTCTGATAATTTAAATCAATGAATTCTGTGGTCACTAATCACACACATATAAATCAGCAAATTCTGACATCTAAAAGTCTAAAACTAATATATACCGTCAACCGGGGCTACTCAGGACTGGCGGGACAACTCGGGACACACCTCCGACATGGCGTAAAACTGTTATAGTAGCGAAACTAATTGGAATATTGCAAAACTAGATATAGTGGCATAAACATTGACATTTTTCCTATCTATGTAGTATAAAGGAAGTTGAAAAATACAACATTTACTAGCTATGAAAAATCCCTGAAAAAAATGGTGAAAAACGCTATTTTGAAAAGTTACTTCTGCTAAGGTCTGTAGCAAAAAAAATATTCACCGTATTAAAAAATTTTACTTACATAAAAGTTGCACCCAGGTGTCGGCTTGAAAACGTAACTGACAGATTTTGCCTATCTCATTCCAAAAAAAAAAAAATGCCGGCCATTTCCGCACGGCAGGGCTAGTCGGGACACCCCCCCTCCCCTTGGCTATTCGGGACACCCCCAAAAATGAATTTACAGTAGAACCTCAGTTGGCAAAGGCTCCAGTTAAGAAAAAAATGGATTAAAAACAAAGAATATTGATTACATTTACCTCGCTCGGCGAAAAAAATTTCACTTATTGAAAAATTAGTGCATCATCGGTCGTCACAAAATTGTGCATAGAATGTTATATAGAATTGTGCACCAGGCATCATAGAATGAAAAGTAATTGACCTAAACTGTGATTTATTTCTCCAAAACATATGATGGTTGTCACTAAAACATTCATTTCTGTTTTAGGTATGTTTTTCACGATCTTTTTTTATAGTAAATTCACTTATCCCAATCAAAATGTTGTGAAATTACAAGCCATCTTGCAAGCTTACAGATACAGAAAAAATGCTATATGGCTGCTGATATGAAGCTTGCAGTGGACAAGGTTGTTGTAAATGCTCAATGGCATATTCATGGATACGGTACCGTAATATTGCATCAATAATACGATAATGTCACATCAATAATTCGGTGATTAATGTAATGGCAATATCATATCAATAAAGGAAAAACAAGTAATAATCACAGAAAATGTCATTTATTCTACCTCTACATCATCTACAATGAAAGAGGAGGACTTCAGAGTACTGTTAGTAATAAATGAGTACGCTCTGCATGCTTCAAATATTTTAAAATGAAGTTTTATTCCCAGTGTCCCGAGTAGCCCCATTCGACGGGGCTACTCGAAACACTCTTTTTTTGCTTCTGGCACCTTACGAATAGCATATGGAATTTTTTTGAAGATGCCATTCAATAGCCCTCACAAAGAGCTATAAAATGAGCCTAAACTTGTTAATGAAATGTTTCATCGTAAGAAGTTATTAACAAAAAACGCTCAAAACTGTCCCGAGTAGCCCCGGTTGACGGTATACTACATATTTTTTCAAGGTATGCATGGGCATAATCTCTAGTATGCGACTATGAGCTTGAACCCTCAAATTTCAAAGTATTTCCTTCAGCTTCAACCCTTGCTTCAAGGATAAATATTCATCCATTTGACTTTATTTTATTAAAATCTCACTACCATCAAGCAGGGTGATAAGGGATGGGCAGGGAAATAAGGGACAGTCCTCCAACATTTTGTGAAATGTTGCAGTAGCTAAACTAATCAAATCATTGCAAAACTAAAAAGAGTGGCATAAACTTTAACATTTTTACTATCTATGCAGCATAAAGCAAGTTGGGAAATCATACATTTATTACCTCTAAAAAATCCTTGAAAAAGGTGTGAAAAGTGAGATTTTACAAAAATAGGGTAAACACACCATATTCCGACACCTTAAGGACGTAGCAAGAAATAAATGTCTATAAATAGATCACCGTATGCGCAACTCAAGTTCTGATTGGTTTACATCACTCAAAACACCACACTATGTGCCAGCAATGATGAAATGTCACAAACTGTTTGTTGCCATATTTATTTAAAAGCCTTTAGAATTGAAATCTACAAAATCGCTGAATTCCGACACTGTGTGACTAAATGCGGCATATTGTGAGACTAATTTCGACAGTGCTTCAAAATCATAATTCATAGTTCCGACACCCTGTGTCAGAATACGACACCCTGTGTGTCGTAATTCTGACACACAGTGTTGGAATTCGTTTTTATGTGTCTAAAATGGTCTTACTTAATTACGCTTTTAATTAACAACTATTAAGCTTTTAATTAAGCAAATTTTAATTTTTGTACACAGCTTGGAACGATCTGTGTGTGTCCAATTCAAGTTATGACAGAATTAGTTTTCATGTGTCTAAATCCATTTCTCAACTTAATCATCTATTTATTTATTTACCACTTAAAATCAGCGAATACAAGTATACTTAAAGGGTTCCGAATATATTCACAGACTTATTTCAAAGTCTCAAACCATAATATTCTTTCTATACAAACAGTTTATCACTATTTAGTAAAGCAAGGTCAACTATCAACTTTCATAGGTACATGTTTCGATGTTCTCACTAAGCTAACTTGGACTTTTGCTCTGCGGATCTTAACATTTTCTGCTAGACCTAGTGTTTTGCAGAAATCTTGCGTGCAATAGGATGACATCACTATTTCAACCATCTAAGCATGCGTGGAACTAAGACCAAGCTTGATATAAAGAAAAAAGTCGAGGGGTGTCGGAATTACCCACAGTGTTGGAATATGGTGCGTTTACCCTATCTCTGCTAAGGTCTGTAGCAGAAAAAATATTTATTGTATTGAAAAATTTTACTTACATAAAAGTTGCACACTGGTCTTGGCTTAAAAACGTGATTGACAGAATTTGCATATCTCATTCCAAGAAAAAATGGCAGCCATTTCCACAAAACAAGGTACGTAATAAGGGACACCACTAAAATTGCATTTACAGTAGAACCTTGGTTAGCAAAGGCTCCAGTTAATGAAAAAATCAATTATCAACAAAGAATTTTTATTAAATTCACCTTGCTCAGTGAAAAAAATTTCACTTAACAAGAAATTACTGCATCAGTCATCACAAAATTGTGCATAGAATTAGTATTAAAATCACTTGTTTGCTTGAATCGCAAGTTAACCAGGAATTTAAAAGCAAAGAAAATACCACAAAAATTCACCATATCTTTATAAGAGAAAACGTTTCGGAGTCCAGCTCCATCGTCAGTTCAAACCACAAAATTCTGTTCAGAAAAAGTTCAGTCCTAGAAACACAAATAAATCAATTAGTAAAGTAAATGCACNTTTCTTTAAAAATTAGCCAGAAATTCATTATTTGCAGAAGAGGGTTGAAACAAGCACTGAAATGACATGCAATGATTGCTCTAACATATTCTTCTTTCAAATTAAATTCAGTGCAATTAGAATGCATGATATGGGCTGGTCCTTTCTTACCCCATGAAGGCTGCGATCCTGTCTTACCCCATTTGACTATATTACTGAAGTTTAGACATTAGTTGAAAAATTAGATAGAGAAAGGCATCACAGCAGAGTTAGTTTGACTAATGATGAAGCATGTTTTCTCACAGAATCTTCTTATACATAACCTTTAAAATGAGTGATTCATCCAAAACTCCTAATGCCATTCATTCCAAAAATGACATTAGCAGAGCTAGTAGAGGGAAAAAATCTACCCATGAAATTGGAAAAGAAATTCTCACAATCCCTGCGTCACCAGCAATGAAGAAAATAGGATTTGGCTCAGGTGAGATGCCAATGATGAAACATAATGCCAACTGTGTTAGATTTTTTAAATAACCCATCTAAATCTTCATTTCTCATATGCTTGTGCTGAAACCCTTTGAAGATTCAATGTATATATTTTTTCTTGTATATTTTAACAGTGCTAATACATAGTTTTTCTTACATGTTGTAAATATTTGTAATTTGTAAAGTATTGTCACTGATATTGTGTCAGGAATTCATGTTTTTATTATACATGCAAGCTTAGGAGCATACATCTCTAAAGATAAGTTTGATTTGTTTTTAACTCCTTAATATTTTTACAGGTGTTTCTGTCTTCTTGCTTGAAAGATACTCCCCAAGCAGAGGAAGTTTCAAATCTCCTTGGGCCATCAAGAAAATAAACAGGTTTGTCCCTAAAACTTTTTTTATATGATTTATTCGCCAGTTTCTGGCTAAATGATTTCCAATGTTAATGAAATTTTGGCTGTCGATTCCAGTTAATCTTAACGTCCTCAATTATGCTCCAAGTGGAACTACCATCATTCCTTTTTTTAGATCATGCTGTTGTAAAATATAATGAACATTTATTTCCTTTTTACAAACATTTGAACAATATCTTTCACTTGCTCAGAGTATGTGACATACTAATCTTGAATAATAGCTAATTAATCGCGTCACCTCAAAGTTCGGATGGTCTAATTGTCACGTCCACCAATGACCGGAAATTAAATGCAACTTCCCTATTGGTTTTATCAGCAAGAGCTTGGACGGAGCAGATAGTTACTCAAACAAACTTTCTTAAATTTATTTATTAAAGATAAACGGCAAATTGACACTAAACAAATCAAACAGGTGCGGCATATGAGGTAAACGAACTAATAAATTAAATGCGGAGGAAGTTAAAGTGCGATGAGAGCAAAATGCGAGGAGAGAGCTAGAGCATTGAGATCCGAGACTAACGCACGATCCTACAACAGAAAACAGAAAGTTAATATCTACGCATGACAAGTCGTATATACACAAAAATCACGATATTCCATCAAGTATTCCAAGCTAGATTTCACCACCATAGCGCGCAACTCACCCTGGCGTCTGAGTCAAAATCCTATAAGAGAGAAACCAGGACGCAAGTCGGGATCGGCATAGTATCTGACGGCTATAATCAATTTGACACCGATGTCAGAGTCGGTCCTACTTAAACTTTGTAGTCTGACATATATTATGGGAAATTTGCAGCAACACTTCATTGCAGAGTATCATCCTCCTGTGATAGTTTATGTACATTTATTGCTGGAGTAGAGAAGATTGTTTGAAAAATTTTTAAAAATTACATAGTAATATCTCTGTTTTGTGACCAACCTTCAATCTCATTTCATTTATCTCAAATTTGAATTTCTGTGCTCTTGCTAATATACTGTGCAAGAATGATGCTATACTGATGCATATATGCATATACTGATGCATATACTGATGCTAATATAATATATGCATATACTGATTCTAATATACTGTGCTTGTCTGATGAAATTTTACATAGATTTATTGTATTCAGAAGTGAATATTTTCATTGAGACTTCTTAAAGATTTTTATAAGCTAGTTTGTTGCTATTGCGTAAAAATAAGCAGTCATCACCTGATGAGAGATGCATATCTGGCAAAAGAACTCTAGAAGAATATGGCATGAAATGCTTGCAAACATTTTCTGTCCAGGCTTTGTGTCAACCAACTATGGCATTAATTAATTTAAGTTATTGTTATAACTTGACCTTTGAAGTTATATCAACTTTTACAGTCGTTTGCTGAAAGGTGCTTCAGGCAGCAAACACAAGGGGAGTGATGATATTTTCAGCAGTCGCTTGTATGCTGAAGCTGAGCTGCTGCGTCGCCTCAATCATCCAAATATTGTTTGCTTCAGAAGTTACACAACTGCTGCTGATGGAGCTAAGGTGATGATTTCTTATTTGATTTGACAACTACCTGTGCTTCATACATTTTAAATTTATCATGGAAAACTAAGAATTAGATAAAAATTTAAATTCAAATAGGCAAGTATGTACGTATATACTTACTTTTTAAAACAGATTTAATCACTAGGTATTGTGTTGCATCTGTTGGTGCATAAAAATTACAAAATGCATTTCTAATAACATTCATGTCAAATTTCATTTATATTATTGTTGGAATTCTATATTTTGCATGGTTCTTTTGTGTATATACAGCATTTCTATATAGAGGAAATCAAGAGCTCAATTGGGATGACTACTGGGTTGCTCATATTCTTTACTCACCCTGATTTATGTTGACAGAATTTAAAACCATTATACATTCCCCTACTAAATAAATCTCTTTCATATCCCAACGAATTTGCAATTAAAAATGGTTATTACTTATTTAGAGAAGAATTTTATCATGATTGCTAACATCGTGGTAGAATTCCAGAATTAAGAAATGGCAGTCCCAAAGCTATTAACACCTTTGGCTAGTACTTGAATAGTCATGAAATTTAAATGGGCTTGATCATATTAATTAATGTCTTTATGGTTGTTTTGAAAGATTTCTGTATATCCAAATATGCTACCCTAAAAGAGTGTCTAATTTTGAAACTTACAGGACTTGAGCAGTTGAATCTATTGCAAAATCTTAGCATTATTTTTTGATGCATAGCCATGTAGGACATAGCCATGTGTAGGACTAGCCATGAAGTCCTGGTGTTAAAGTAATTGTACTATATTATTCTGGTGAAACCCAGCTTTTTGGGCTCTTAATACAATACCTATGTAACATATCATAACAAAGCTTATATGGAATTGTTAAGTTAGACTTTTTTTCTAGTATTCTTCATATTATGTTCAATGATGAATTCTCTTGATTAGAAATTTTCTTTTGTCTCAAAATCACACAATTATTGATGCTAGATAAAAATTTAATTTCAGTGTTTGGCAATGGAGTCTGTTGAACGTGACCTGAGTTCCATCATTGAAGACCTGCGCCTTGCTGGTCAGGTTGATCCTCTCCCAGTGCATGCGCTCACCAGGGTCTGTATTCATCAAGTTCATTTATACTTACTATTCTATTATTATTTGTTTCTTTATTTTTTCTTTTTAATTTTGTTTGCATTTTATTCCTGCTGTTTTTAGTTTGATATCACATATAATTTTTTATTTTTGCCACTGCATTAGGCTTCATTTCCTTGTTGCTTAAGGGTCTGGGTAAAAAAATAATAAACCTGGCTTTTCCGTTTTTTGGGCTCGTATTTTAGCTGCGCATAAGGCTCGTCAAAAGTAGCTAATCGTATGTATGTGCGTTATCTAGTTCCTGCGAAAAAGCAGTTTAAAAATTATTTTAAATGAACATTTTTTGAATGAACAAAGACTTATTAAAAAATGGTACTTATACATAATTTTGAAAATATTTGCGTTAAGGAAGCTGGTTTTAAGCTCCTTATGCATATGACTGCCAAATAGGCAGGTCTAACGCGGCAAACCGTATGTATGTTCATAATTCAGTTTTGTGCGAGTCAGTTCCAAATTTAAATGAAATGAATATTTTTCAAAAAAATATACAAATATACTTTGAAAAAATCAATTTATAGATCATTATTTGCGTTAATTGCAATACGGTATGTTTGAATTTCATTTTGAAGCTGCAAACAAGGCGCGCTTAACTAAGCAAAAAACATGGATTGGCATGCAAAATATTTTGCATAAGGCCGTATAGAACTTTTATATAATGAATATTTTATATAAATAAATATATCAGAAATATCACAGTTAAAGCTTATTATTCCCGTAAAGCGAGACAAGGATAAGTCTAAGGACGTCTTATGGTATCCTCAATACGAGTAATTGGCAGTGGGAAGGCTGGGGCTGCAGTATAAAGAAATTTTTTAAACATTTTCTTCTTTTTTAATCAATTCTACTTAATATGCTCAACAGAACAATCCAATTAGCCAGAATATGCCATCTTAAAAATCTATCTCCTCCTATGATTTTCAAGCTAAAGCATTGAGCAACATATTCAATTTGTAAAGACCATATCTAGCGATTCTAGAAGCTCTTTTTAACACGTTTTTCTTAGCTTAGCTTCGCGTTTGTTTGTTTGTTTATTTGTTTGTTTGTTTGTTGTTAACATTGACAACGAAAATTAGCCCACTTTTGATTGTTCTAGAGATCTGAAATTCGGCATGCAGGCTATTTTCGCCTAACAATTTCAGATACAATCATAAAAACTAGTAATTAGAGGCCGAAATTAGTTTAATTGAGTAAAGTATATATATAGTATATATATATATATAGTATGACGTGCGGGCGCTCACGTTATAGACGAGCAGGCGCTAACGCTGCGTATCATCGATACGTACGTCGTCATACTTAATCAAGTCTTAATCGTTTTTCTTGTGGACTAAAAAGTAGAAAATAAAATACTTAAAAAAAAACTTTTTAAAAAAACACGTTTTTCTTGTGGACTAAAAAGTAGAAAATAAATTATGGTTCGCCCCAAAAAAACGTGGGTCGTGCTGTACGTTCACCATCAAAAAAATTGAAAAAATAATTTTGTCAGCTACCAATCTTATAACTGATATTTGACACACTTTTACCTGTCTAATTGATCTGAAATTTTGCACACTTGTGTGAAGTCAGAGGCAATGCATGAATCAATTAATAAAATAAATAATTTTGAAAAAAAATTTATGTATTAAAAAAATTATATATTAAAAAAATTGAAAAATTAATTTTTTTAATATTCGAAAATTAAATTAGAAATTCATGGTACATCTTTAAGATTGGAGACACTGGATTCTTTGGAAGTGTTGTCTTTAAAAAGTAATTTTTAAATGTATATTATTTCTAATTTGTGCATAGGGGAGGGAAAAAACATGAAAAAACTGGGAGGGAGGGAGGGGAATTGGGGAAAAATAGGAAAAAAGTTTTATTAAAACGAATATTAATCGAAAAATTGCTTCTAAAGTCGATAGATATTTACTTTACAAATCGGATGATATGTCTCTCGATATTGTAGCACGTGAATTGATGGAGTAGATAGATTTATAAAGGACCCCCCTTTTTCCGTTTTCTATGTATTTCACGTTTTCTATAATATCTTTTTCAAAAAATTTACAGGAACAAAATTCTTTGCTCTATTACGGTACTCATCTTTTGCTCTATTACTTATGTGTATGGAGTTCCACAAAGATCCGTCAGTAAATAAAAGTTTTTTTTACCCAGACGCTCCCGTTGTTGAACGCTCAAATGAACTATAATTTATAATGTATAATGAACGCTCAAATGTTTATATTTTCAATATAATTTTTTTATAACATTCAATGAGAAAAGGGAATCAAAATTGCATCAATTAATTAAACTTTAAACGTTTTTTGGAGAAAATTCTCTGTAGTCATTGATGGTTTATTTTTTATTCAAACATATAAGTGACCAGTTGAATGTGCCAAAGATCTAAAGTTAATTGTGCATTAATATTTTTATGCTGAAAACTTTTTAGCGACCTGGATATTCTCTTTACTGCCCGCCATTGAAGCCAAATTAAAACATTATCAGTTAACAATCTAATCAGATTTCAAAAGCATCCTGCTGCCCTGTACTAAAGGTTCATAGAACCTTTCCATTGATTTACTCTCCGATATTCGGATATACATTTTACAGCATTCACGTCCTATCAAAGAGTAATTGATTTCATCTACTAATGCATTTCATCGACATAACTTAATCTTTCCTTTGGTACTTTCTAGCCTTCTTATCACAAATCAAATCTGAAAATCAATCAGTTTTAGTAATTTAATATTGATCAGAATAGTACATCATGACAAAAATATCAGTACCGTACTTCGTACCATTTTCTCTACCTTTTAAAAATATCAAATGGAATGAAGTAGGGTTATAGACAATATGATTATGTTGTGACCGGGCAGTGGTGAGAGACTCAGGCTCTCGCACCCAGCTACTGGGTTTGAGTCTCAGTGAGGAAAGTTCTTCCGGGAAGCTCAGCTCATGGTTAACTCAGCCATTCATCCAACTCTGATTGATAAACGAGTACCTGGCTTGTCCAGGGTGTTGTGTAATGTAAAAATGGTTCTGGCGGGTCAGTAAGCCAGTGATTGTTGTGGAAATCACCAGTGGAATTAGTTCCCAGAAAAACTGACTTATCACCCTTCCATTACCTAGTTGCCACTACCAGGATGGGCAATTACAATAACAACAACAAAAACAAGATAATTATGTAATTAGCCTAGACGTAATCTATGAAAATTTATCACAATATTCAATTAGCTTAGCACTTCAAAAATTAATTCAATGTGGTTGGAGCACCACACAGAGTAGGGAACAAAGAAATTGTTAACATTTAAATTGCTTTCTCTGGTAACAAAGATTGGTAGTATGGCTTTACTGTCATTTAATGGCTGAAGATTCGAAATTTGTATACCTTTTGCACAGGATTGCTCTGTTAACTCTTGTTACTTATTTAGATGTTTGTAGTTTGTCCTTTCAAAATTTATTCTTTTGACACATCTTAGTGTGCACATGTCTAGTATTTTGTTTTAGGGTTAAGTTTGCCCTAATAAGGTTTAATTTTTTAATCAAGTCTGCCGATGCATACACGCCAAGTGTTTGGTTAAATGTTTTTGTTTATATTTGTTTAGCTAAAATTCCATTTTACATTGCAGGTTTGCCAGGACGTGTCGAGTGCTCTGCACTACCTGCATGAAGAGCAGCAGCTGCTGCATGGGGACCTTAAGAGCGCTAATCTTCTTGTCAAAGGAGATTTTCAACAGGTTAAGCTCTGTGACTTTGGGGTTAGCCTCAAACTTGACAAGATGGTGAGTTTCTTCACTTTCTTGTATTTTATTATTCGTCAATTTATATTTTAGGCTGAATATGAAGTTCTGCTGGTATTTTATTTGGACTTTTTTTTTTATTCATGCAGTTCATTTGTTTTTTAAGAAATTAAATTTTGATCTAAATCGTTTCAATATATGTATTCTAAATTTAATTGGAGTATTGTTTTAGTGTCATTTCACGTTGTAAATGTTTAATGTTAGTCATCAAATTTGCAATTTTCATTGCATGAGTATTATGTTGTGCAATAAATGAAATGTTAATTCCAATATTGCCGCTATTTTTGTGAAAAGATCTACTAAGTTAGAGAGGCTAACAAAGTTTGGCTTTTATTTGTAGAGGACAACAATTATTACCTTCTTGATTCAATTTTAAAGATAAGTATTGAATAAGAGTCTAAGTTTATGCCATTGCTGTATAATCAATTAATTAAAGTTTCTTGCTTTGAATTTTAATGGAATTGTATGGTCTCAAAGCAATAATACTGTGCTGGTGATATTGCAAACCATTAAGCATGAAAAATGGGACAACGTTTGAATTGTCAGTATAATATTTATAAATACAGTTGTATTTCCAAATTCTGAGGTCTAATCACAAATTCACTCCATCGTGAAATTACATAAAATATTAAAGTGCCACTGCAACTCCTCCATTTGATTGGCCAGTGAATATTGTTCTAAGATGACCATATAATTGGGGATGAGCTACGTTTAAAGGTCTGCGGTAAGGCCGGTATAGTAACAGCGAGTGAAACAAAACAATAAGACAAAACTCAGAGGAACAAACTCAAGGAAACCGTACAAAATATAATAAGCACATCAATGTGAAGATGAAAGGCGAAAGTTAATGGGCTAGTAGGATGGGACAGCCCAGGGCTAATATGTGATAGGATGAACATGCAGAACTGAAATGACCCATGGCGAAAACTGGATTGAGCAAAACTGAATGGAAAAGGAATAATAGAAATGCGCGTGAACAACATAAATATCTCCAAAAATAGTCCCGTGTCCCTGTAAATATTTTTCCTGTTAATAATATATCCTCCTCATCCTATCCTTGTGTCTCGTGTGTTTTGTTAAAAGTCTAACGATGCGACATGACCATGAACCTTATGTACAGGTGTGTTTCATTCATATACAGCACCCTGTTATATTCTATTTATTTTAATGGTAAAATACAGGTTCACTGAATATTTATAAGTATTTCATGTACATGAACCACTTTTGCAGATGGTGGCGTTACCAGGCCAGCACTACATAGGCACCGAATGCTGGAGTCCTCCAGAGACTGTGCTGGGGGATGCACCTCCTACTGACAAGGCCGACGTCTTCGCCTTTGGTCTGACAATCTGGTTAGTTCTCGTCAGCTAGGATTGTATAAATAATTGGAATTTATGCTATTCTCAATTTTATTTGATATGAAGACCACAGATATTCATCTTCAAACAATGCAAACGCTTGTAAAAAATTTACTTTCTTTTAATTTTGGTGTTTGATCAGATTTAACGTACTTTTGATATTGCTCATTTTAGGGTAAATTATATATCAATGTGAACATTCAATTATTTATAGTATGTCATATTACATATCATATTGAAGTTGTGTCGACTACATTTTGCATAAAATTTTGTTTTCAACTAAGCATGTTGAAACGAATTTCGGCATGTCTGATATGATTTGGATCTTCACTTTTGAATTTGCTTCGCATTACATCACTCATTGTGCAAACTTTTTCGATTTATGTGCTCAGCGTCATTTTCTGCTTTTTATAAACCTTACGATCGTATCAAGCTGTCAATAATTACATGAATGTATTCTTTATATTAATACTGTCCAAATTAGTTTACTCCTGGTGTAAACAAGAGAAACAAGTTAGATGAGGATGTTTCTGGATCTGAATTTCTCACAGCACCCGAGTTGTATTTTTTTATAAAACTGATCCTTTTGAAACAGTTATTTTTTTAATTTTGTTTGTAAAAACTGGTTGCTGTAATGTTCAGGGAGTGCCTGACGCTGGACTTCCCGCACGTGCACTTGCTGAGCAGCGAGGAGGGAGAAGAGCTGCTCAGCGAAGAGGAGCAAGATCTCAAGTGTGAAGCGAGGGAGGAGATCTTCCAGAAAATGATTGGTAAATATGCAGCTTTCTGCATCATGCATATGTCGTGCTGAAATCGCGGAATTGCCGATTACATAGAACCGCAGCCAGTTTGCCGAATCTGTAGAATCAGCATTTCTATACTAGGTATATGAATGTGGGGTTAGGTCGGTCAGCCAAGTTTTTTACTATTTAAATATAATGAACTTGACCGGACTTGACCTAACCTTTTCTAACACTGTCGATTTATGCTCAAGATTTTGTGTTCAAGATATGATTTAATGTTTCTTTAATGAATTCTTTTCTTTCACTCTATTATTCTGTTTTTTTTTTTTTAAATTTCAGAAAAAGAAGATTTTTTATCAACATTGGTGTGCAGCGTAACTCTAGTGTAGTTTAGTAACTCAAGTTTTTATTCTTAGTCCATATATAGCTTGAGACATTTGTTACCTGTTTTGTTTATTTTGGCCTTTTTTGAAACCTAAAAAAGGAAACTCTAAAACTTGAATTATTAAGTGTTTTCTGATGTTTTTGAGAAAACTGAGTGAGCTAAAAAATTAATTAGGAAATCCTGCGTTTTATGCTCCTGTTCACCACTAAAAACTTGTTATAGGTACTACTTGCATGAATACAATGGTAGGAATATACTAGCCTGATCTTTATTATTGTCTTAAACCATCATGACTGTGTTACTGGTGTTTGACTGTATTACTGCTAGACTGGGTTGTCTAAGACCATAAACTCAATCAAGGCTGTGGCATTAAATTTCTTAACTTAGCCTGTTATTGCACGAGGACATGAGAAGAGAATGTAAAGCATTGCGGTATTCTATGCAAGTCAACTCTTCCTATGATGTGATCCACTCCAATGACCGTGCCAATTTCGCAAAAGCTTCGATTTATGGAAGATATTTCTGGTACCATCCCTCATTTTTTTATTGCTACACACCGTCTCGAATAAAATTGATTTCCAATGCCAGTATAAAGGTTGTATCCTTATGACGCAAAATAACAAGCTGTAATGACTTTATTTCTTTGACTGTAATTGCGTTCAATTCCTAATGAGAATTCTCACTGTGACTTCTTTGTGGAGATTTGATAAGTATATATGTTCTTCCTCAGGTACGCGCCCTGGTCTCCCGAAAAGCATCAGCGACGTCGGAGCGGCCTACACTCCGTTCCTGGAAGCTTTTAATCACTGTACCAATGCAGATCCTTCCGACAGACCTTCTGCTGCGCAGCTCGTGCTGGTCTTTGCTCTTCTCGATGCTCCTGCTCCAGAGGTAGCAGGGTCTTTGCAAATGAAAGATAAAAACAGATCTGCTGAACCAATTCTCATTGATTTTGAAACGTCGCAAGATACTGAAGATGATAGCCATGACTTGTCACACTCGGTCAACTCGACAGTGAATCTTGATTCCACTGAAGTTGCTGAAAGCAGCTGCAAGGTACATGACGAGTTTACAGACGAGGAAAGCCGGCTTGAAAATGATGACGAAGTTGAACCTAACGCAGAAAACGGAAATGATTCAAGCCATTGTGGCTCAATAGAGGACATTAAAGATGTCCAGTCTAATGAGGAAGAATCTGAAATATCCAACAAAGAGAACTCCTGTCTTCTGAAGCCTAACTCGATGCCTCTCCATGTGAACGGGAAAAAGAGGTCCAGTAAAGATTGTTGCCTCAGCTCTTCACCTTGCAAGAAACGAGCGCGTCCTTCTTGCTGATTGTATCAAAAGAAATAAAGGTTAGCTTGTTTTCTTGCTTCAAGCGTAGTTAAAAAATATATATTCATTTTATTTGCGTAAAACTTAAATTGCGTATTCGATTTGCAATTCATAGCCATGCATTTTTCATTAATATTTGATACCTAAAGTGGGCAAGAGTAAAGCTGAGGTAATAAGGCAAAGCGTAGGATATTTGGGTTCTATTTGAGATTTCATTTTGGAAATGGCAAGATGAATAAAAATAATCTGACTATCCTACGTTTTACTCCTATTACCTAGGGTTTACTCAGGCTTATGTTATCCATGTAGACTGTGAGTTGAAGCTAGCCGTAACGCTGTTTATTTTACTTAATCTAGAAAATGTAAATTCTGGTCTTGTTATTACATTAATTTTGTAGCTCTCCAATTTGTAACTGTGGAGCGTTTTGGATGAACCATTCACTATCTTCCCATAATAAATTATTAGAATGGTTTACCTATATAGACATGCCAGCATCTTCACTATAATTTTCACGGTCCTTTACCTTCGGAACATTCCTCAAATCTATTAATTTCAACATCAATATCCAGTATCTTGTACGCCATATGAATACACTACCTATGGCATAAGCTACATTTTTCATTTTTACATCCGGTAATAATACATTGATAACCTTCGATCCCGTTTTAAACTGACTGTAGCTCTCGTTATCATTGCTACGTTTGGTATCAACGCGTGACTGTATCCATGGGCAAAAGATTGGACTGTAAGACTTAAAGCATAAGTTTTTTTGGAATGTAATATGCAGCGATTGTGTTCCCAATTTTTTAAGCGAGACCCGTTAGCCATTTAATTTTGGGTTTCGGTTGTTTTCGCTAATGAATGCACCATGATAACATCTGCAAATTCAAATAGAAAGAAAAAAATGTGAGGTTAGATTGACAATCTCTCTGATAACATTAATTTTTTTCATTAGCATGTCGGTGCGATGAAATGAAAAGAAGTTCTGTATGAAAACCCCATGAATAGGTGAAGGTAGTCGGCGAAGGATTTGAATTTTACGATTCGGCTAGTAAATAGTCTCTCGTTGTCACTGTTTCGACCACGTAGTCATTGACCTTCTTCCTCACAATAATACTCATTATCTTCATTATAAGTACGGACAGCTCGTACTAATTTCCTGGAGTATTATTAATAATGAATTATAGAATGCTTTGGGATCGTTTGACGAAGTATGTATTTCTGCTAGACTACGTATTAGAAAAGACTTTGCCTTATGCCCGCTAATTTAAAATTTTCACCTAGTCTATCTTGGTTTCGGTATTTCCCTCCTATTATAGAACCTTTAGACACGACGACGTTATCAAATATTATTTCTTTCCAAGCTGGAAAAGAAGACCTCCAGCCCAACGCGGGTGCATATTACTACATTTATTATTTTTTGTTTACCTAATTTATTAAGAAATTGAAATTATGGCCGTTCATTGCAACGATGATTATCCCGATAATGTCGTTACCAATTTTTTTATTTAGAAAATGTGTCAAATCTCTTAGTCTTAGCAATCTTATTCATAAATTTGGAGATATCTTTGTGCATTCTACGACTGGAGCAATAATTACTTTTATCGGCAATGGTCGTTTTCTTTCCCACACATATATCATCTTCCATCAAGTATTCATTTCGCACTCAACGTTGAAATAGTTCAATGACCAACAGGACCCTACGGCAATGACCAGGAACTGGATTGATAATTGATTGGCGGCGAAGCAAGGTATCTATGAGTGGTGAGGACAATCGGATCTTGAGTCGGCTGTAGTTAACAAGCATTTAGTGTCACACGAAGTAAGTCTCATAATATGAGGCTCGTGAGTGTCGTAGTCTAATTCTAATGGTCTAATTCCTTCAATTCTAGTAAAATGGTTAATATCGTTAACAACAAAAATTTTACCCTAAAATTATATAACTAAAATTAATAATTCCAATAAAAATGATTGAAATAAATAAAATACACGCGAATTTGAACCACACGAGGCGGCACTGCGGGTACGAATTTTTTTTTTCACTGTAGGGACCCGTGGCGGAGTGATTAATCTGCCACCAAGACCACCACAGGCCCCTCTGCAGCAACAGCCTTTCATAACTCTAAGCATGTAGAAAACTGAAGGTATCTTCCCACCTTCACTTAGTTCTGGTAGCTCGGAGATGCATAAAATTAAAATCCCAAACCATTTCTGACCGGATTTCTAATTTAATAATTCCGATCGAATGTCTTTATTAAATAAAGCTTTAAATTTCTTTATATAATTTCGAGCACACGCAGCAGTTTAGCAGCAAAGCCATCCTTATTTCTATTATAACGACTCTATAGACAAAACTTCCCTGCCCCTGTTCCGCGTCCTAGCAAGCAGTTCCACTCTAACGTTCAAAAAGTCAGCACACGGATTAATAATCTCTCCATCTTCTGCCTTGGTCGACATCAAGATGTCGGACACGAAAATCTCGTGTATTGGTCCCGTCTCTATGAAGCAGTAGAGACCTGTGGAGCGATCGGGGTTCGGCGGTGGCTACCTTTCGGGCGGTGATGAGGTGACGGCGGACCACACTGGTATTATCGCTGATGCAAACGGGACTTGGGCCCTACCAGGAGCGACTACCCGTCAGTGCGGCATGAAGTATTGGCGCCACGGCGCTCACTGACCGGCGGACCATCTGGCTACGACACCGAACTTCTGGTTCTACATTCACGGAGGTGAGCTGCGAAAACTAACGAGTAGTGCTCGCATTAAGCTCTTCATGGTGCCTTGTCCCTCCAATATGGAGGGTAGAACCTCCACTTGTGCCTATATTAACTATGTGTAATTTGGAAGTCCTGTGTCTCTTGTGTATTTCTAATGCTATAATATTTTAGTCGTCTTAGCTCTTATCCGTCTCTCTTATCCTGTGAGCTATATATGCGAATAGTTAAGACTTCCTGTTGATCTATAATAATTCACGTTTCAAATTAAAACGATTGTACACATTTCCTTTGCGCAGTGCAAACTCCTATTATCTAGTGGAAAGCGGGCGAGTGTGCTGAAGCTCGGGAGACGCGTCCGATGGTGGCCACTGCCATGATGCCATCCTCTGCTCTCGACGCGTTACTTCTTGCGGCGGTCAATTAATAAACAATTATTTAGTTGATATTGCCTTATTTATCCTCCACTCGGCCGTGTTTTCAATAGAGCAATCATCAACTATGGTTGTTGAATTTTCATCTAGTAATTTTTTTAACGTTTGATTCAAGAACAATTTATTCATATTACCGATGAACTCGCGACAGAGCATCGTAATATTCGGGTTTTCGATTTGTACCGCATTTAGAGGTATTCCATCACTAAATAAACAAGTGAGCCATGCAAATGTTTCGGCCTCTATAAAATTACCAATACTGCATTGAACTAAATTTGAAAAATTATAAAATTAGTTTTTGAATTTCTCTGAGAAAGATACAAATTACCTCACAGGCGCAGATGAAAATGTAATAAGAGTAATGAACGAATAGTTCTGTCCCTAACATCATTACCGCGTGGCCCAACGCGTTGCGATCGACACAACATAATTTAAAACTTTTTCAACTTTCATTAGTCCCAATATGGTCAGTAAACATTTCAACGAGGATTTTAATGGATGTGTTTGAATGTTACAAAAAAAATATCTTTAACTGTCCGATTATCGTTAAGTTAAAAAAATATATTTTATTTATGTATTGCCATGAAACCTCGGCAACTCGATTTTTCTGCTACTTCCATTAATTCGAGTCGCCAATTTTTTGCAACTTCGGCTGAGATTATTTTTACTTCTAATAACTGGTCGTCCAGTTTACCCTCCTCTTTCCCTTTAATGATCACTAACAAACAACGGAAGTTTTGTCAGTGGGGGATAGATGGGCAAGTGCCACCTCAGTGAGACACACTGAGGTGTCATAGAAAACTGCAGCGATGATGCATGGTTATCAAAATTTAGTACGAACTCGCTCGCTTCTTCAACCTCCTCAAGGTGTCGTTTTCACTAGCGCTACATAACTAAGGTGTCTCAGACAACCTATTAGATGCCACGATTCTCCAGACCAACTCGCAGGTGTGATTCAATAGCGCAACAATAATCAGTTGTCTCGGACAACCTTTTCTACTACGCGATTATTTTACGCGAATTCGCTCCATCATTGAGGTTTCTTCAATAGTGCCACATAACCAAGGTGTCGCAGACAACCTCTTCAATGACACGGTTCTCCGGACCAACTTACAGGTGTGATTCATTAGCGGAACATAAATCAGTAGTCTCAGACAACCTCTTCTACGACGCGATTCTTTTCAGACGAACTCGCTGCATTATTGAGGTGTCTTCAATAGTGCTACATAACTAAGGTGTCTCGGACACAGTTTTTCGCACCAACTCGCATGTGTGCTTCTTGCTTCTTCATTATTACCTTATAGAAAATTAAGTAAAATCTTAATTTTTCCAGTTTTACCTGGTAATTCTACCAAGGTTCCATTGCATTGGTAACTCAGAGTCGTGCAGGGAGGGTCTGTAACAGGTCGGATTTGCAGGCTGCACATATAGATTCTCGGAGTAAAACTCTCTTTTAAATTTGCAAAATAAAATATTTTAATTCTGCTTTTCTATGGTAATGTCGTAAATGTGCACATGTAGACCAGAGATGAACTTGAAGAAACTGACTCAAAACATATTAATATATTTGTGGCAGGACAGCAACGCCACCAACGCTGAAAGAAATGAGCGAGACGTGGTCCAAATAACGATATTTTTTTGTATTTGTGTTAAAGTGGTTAAAGTTCAGAGTATCAGGATTGGAGCAGAGAGGCGCGGGTTCGATCCCAGCTCTGTGCGTCAGTTTCTGGTCAGAATCGGCAAGGAGGCCGGGCGGTTGAGCGCTCCAGAATTGGAGCAGTGAGTTGCGAGTTCAAGACCGCAACAAGCTGTGAACGTTCTGCGATGCTAAGAATCGGCGACAGGCCTACGGCCTAATAAACGCTGAAACCGCTATTATTATAATTATTATTGTGCAGGTCATCCTTGATAGTTTGGCCTGTCCAAATGAAAGGCGTATCACTGCTACGTCCGGTTCGTTCTTGTGCTTTGTGTAAGAAAGTAAATAAATATTTGGAAATCACCTCAGAATGAGGTGTCTCCTGGCAATACTTCAGTCGCCACTTCGATATTAAATAATATAACTCGGTACTCACTGAACTGAGTGACAGAGAGCGCATTTTCTTCAAATTAACGAAAACGTGAAGTCACAGACAGACGGACGGACATGACGAGCACAATAGCGCCTTTTTTTCATAAATGAGAAAATGCGCTAAAAATATGTTATGACTTTCACCGAATACTGGATTAAGTCATCCTTTAGAGAAATTACTGTCATCGCTTTCCAATGCACATCAGTTCAATGGCAACCGTATCTTAAAAAAGTTTAATGCTAAACTTCAGGTAAAAACTAAAAACAATTGGAGGGCTAATTGCACATCTGAGGTAACCCCGTAAAATCGGCGCCTGAGCGCCAATGCAGGAACAATTGAGGCAAGGAGTTACGGGAGCCGGTTTGTGGGCAATTGTGAGCTTCAGTGCGTGTAGAGTGCGGAATCAAAACTCAGTTATGTATATGTCGGTTAGCTCGTAGCATCGCAGTCACTAACACGGTAACAGCACTCAGTCCTGTAAGACGCGATCGGCAGCAGTTGATGGACGTACAAAGAAGGTAATAATGATTCCGCACTCTACACGCACTGAAGCTCACAATTGCCCACAAACCGGCGCCCGTAACTCCTTGCCGTACTTGTTCCTGCATTGGTGCTCAGGCGCCGATTTTACGGGGTTACCTCAGATGTGCAATTAGCCCTCCAATTGCTAAAAAGGGTGGAATAATAATACAAGCAGAGTACAATACATTTCATCATTACCGACAATCAAATATTCCTCCGTTAATCCTTATATTAGAGAGAAAAAGAATATTGAAAGCTAATGATATCACAGCAGCCACAACATGGGCTCTCCATTAAAATTAGTACATATACTGTCACGAAGTAAAGCACATATTGAAACATTCACACAATGACCAAGAAGATAAACTCGATTTGCAACTGATTGAAAATTTCCATAGAGACGACGATGTGATATTTCGACGTCATACAAATATCTAGTCTACTCAGTGAGTTACATGAAACGAATCGGGATTCCAGACAAACATTTTTCATAAGACAAGTGCAAGGTGAAGTACGTTTTGGAAGTCGATATGTCACGAAGCAGTAACTTTTTAATCGATTAGCCACTAAAGATTCATTAAACTTGTACACAAAATGAATTATCGAAATTCATGAATTATACAAAAGATGTTGAATGCAGCTTAGCGAAATCACTCTTATTGATAGTTTTTCTTTGTTCAATCAATTCTGAAATCAAATCATACGAGTGAATGAAACAATGTTTTATTCCATACAACCCACAACAATTATTATCCAACGTTTGAAAGTAGCAACCGGTATACCATTAGCCAATAGCTCATCATCATTAAAAAAATTTTTTTGGTCGAATGTCTTAGATGGAGGTTCACGTAAAAAATGTTTTTTTTTTTAAATTAACCAAACAGTTGATTAAGAATTAGTCGCGCTTTTATGTTATACGTTTTACACACTGATAGGGAAGCTCAGTTCCACATAACAGGAAAATTATCTGCCGAAAGGAGGAACAACCTCAACTCCATCTGAGATTAGACTAATTACGAGGTGAGCTAATCCGTTAATTGAAAGGAATAGTATGAGCAAGAAAAAAGAAAAACCTCAAAAAAGTCTAAAATTAAGCGAATAATAAGGAAACTAATGGATTGCCATCCTTTGTGAAATAATCTCAATCGTCTAATAATAACATGAATACGTAACGTGAATAATAATAATCAAAATCGTCTTTAAATAATCATAATTATGTGATGAGAATATAAATTTTTATTTTGACACCGCAAACAAGACACAGAGTGAAAATCTCGTAAAAATTTCCTGGTCCGCAACATAGAAAACGGGTTTATACCAACATTTTTGGTGTTATCAAGTTTTGTCTGTTGACACAGCTTCATGGTCGTCAGTTGTGCAAGTGTTTTAAATACCGGCACTAAATTAACTCGTGACTCAGTTGGAAGGAAATCTCGAAGTTATTCAAAAGATACAAGACATATACAATGTATGAAAAGAAAATTCAAGAGATGAATGAGAAAGAAATGACATATATACCTGAGCAAACGCCAATAGAAAAAACGAAACTTGCAATTATCAAAGCGACTATGCACTTAGAACAAAAATAAAATAAGGTAATAACATAGAAACAAAGCAAATTATCTGCGGCGAAAGCGCAGGAAAGAGTTGACTAAACATACACTCGAAGACATCTCGAAGCCAGCGTTGCTGGTGATGCTGTACAGGAGCTTCTCCTTGACGGTGATGGGGCTCAGACAATTCGAATCCTGCGCTGCTGGTGATGCTGTAGAGGAGCTTCTCATTGATGGTGATGGGGCTAAGACAACTCGAATCCTGGGTTGCTAGTGATGCTGTAGAGGAGCTTCTCATTGATAGTGATGGGGCTAAGACAATTCGAATCCTGCGTTGCTGGTGATGCTGTAGAGGAGCTTCTCATTGATGGTGATGTGGCTAAGACAACTCGAATCCTGCGTTGCTGGTGATGCTGTAGAGGAGCTTTTCTTTGAGGGTGATGGGATCTCGGTACTCGGGCAGCTTTAGGAGGTTCATGCAGGTCGCGGCGCTGGGCAGTCGCTGGTCGCTGCCTGAAGGCTGGATGCAGAAGGGAGGGTGCAGGTCTTTGAAGCCAAGCAGAGGCGGTCGAGAGCAGCTTGTGACGAACTTCAGCAGCAACCGGCGGTGCTGCTCGTCAAATTGTTCCACAACCTGGACATGAAGTTCATACATGTGTGAGAAATTCGTTACACTTCTGATAAAATTATGTGCTGTGGTGAATGAGAAGTCAGCTCTGAACATAGACATTTCGTGTGATAAAAATTTTAGTCATAACAGTACTCGGCCAAAGTGAGCGATTATGCTAATTCGACTAAATTCAAATACATACATCGAATGTGTCTTATGATACAACTGCAACATCAAAGAGGCAGACTATTCCCAAAAAATTTTACCTGCCAGAAGAGTCTGATGGTCTTGTGTTTGGCGGTGTAGTCGCCGCTATATTTAGTGTTCTTCTTGAGGTCATTAATATCAACAGGCGTGGCAGAACCTGAAATCATCGTCTGCAGTTCCCGCCAGTCAAATAACTGCAGCCACTCTGCCGACACGACGTCATGAAGGCCTGCACAAGAAATATAAACATAGAGCCAGTTGTATTTGGGTATTTATATTCTGCAAAGCGACCAGGCAGTGGAACGTTTGATAATAAATTTGATTGTGCCAATTTTTTCTTTGAAGAATTTAATTTAATTTTTAAAGTGTGCCAAGTTTAAGAAATGCTAATTTGAAGGCAGTTGTGTTCAGGGCTTCAGATGAAGCTAAATACCACAGCCGGACATTGTTAGATGATGAATCTCAATGGTACGGTACCGATTTTTGATCCACAAAATTCAAATTATTTGATCAGAGAATAGCGTGATGAACGAATTCCAGGTTGATAAACAGTACTAAAAATGTGCGATTCAAACGGTTATACAATAAACGAATCATTCCACTATGTAAATTGATCACTTCTAAGAACACAGCTCAATGGTGTCGAGATAGGTATACTATGAGGGTTTCCATTTCCTGATCAGTATTACAGAAAATATAAAGTATAATTAGAGTTTTTTCGGATCATGTGAAAAGAACATGATACGTACGTAGTAAGAATGCAATTATAGAGTATTAGGAATCTCGAATATCTCGAGGAATTCGAATATTAGGAAGATATCAATGCGTTTAAATCCTATCATTACCCTACCTCGAATTAATGTGTTCAATTCTAATTCCAAGCAGTAAATGACAATTAAAAAATGAAGTACGAGATAGCAGAAAAAAGCAGTGCTAGGAAGGAACAGCAGTTAAAGAGTTCAGGGATTAATTGATACTTGCCTTAATGATATCAAAACATTTTGGACAATTCGAAGGAAAGTATTAGGTTCTCTTACACGACGTACAAGATTAATCACATTTGATGCTTAGCTTCAAACACGAACTTGCTAACAAGTTGAAGCTACGAAATATTTCTACCGTCCGTAAGCCTAATACCGATGAACATCAATCTGCCTTTCAATCGAAAGAAAATTTGTCATATAATCCAGCATTGTTGGAGCTGACCTTTCCTGAAAGCGTAGCATTGTTTGGCGATCTGTTGATTGAGTTTGAAGTCGGCCATGCGGTAGATGTACTCGATCTTGTTGTCGGCCGTCACTTGAACGTTGGCACCGTCAGGCACAAGCTCCACAACCTGGCGAGAAGCATCAATCCGGTAAAAAAAAAATCGAAAAAAGCGTAATTAGTTCGATTGCGCGCGGATAGGACAATACAGAGAGCTCAATGTTCTTAAAACTTCGTTCATTGTGATATAGCAAATATGATTAGAAACGTATTTTCCTAAAGGTTAATGCAAGGCTGTTCCAACAGGATTTTGTTACACAATTAACCCACTTTTGCTTTTCTGCTAGAATATCGGAGGCGTTAGAATATTCTCAAACTTACTCTATTGTGTCCAAGCTCAGACACGAGGACGGTGAAGTCGAGACCGAGCTCAGAGACATCGCCTTGGTAGGTCTTGAGGTACAGAAGGTTGCGACACAGTTCAGGGTCAAGCGAGTCTAGGTGGTGGAATTCTATAGAGAATCCTTTCCTCGATAGCAGCTTTGACAAGAAAAACCCGGCCAGCGGAATTTCCACCAATAGATTTTCGTATAAAGCCTGGTGAAATAAAAAACAGTTATAGTAAAATTGAGCTACCAATGCATGTCCTCTCCCAATTGAGCTACCCATGTAATACCAAAAACTTTCTCTACCAAGTGTACAGTATTAATTCAAAGAGTTTTTAAATTTCAAATTATTAGCACATTAAATACCCGAGTACTTAGACATAAAATTTAAAAAATAATACAGAGAGAGCAACGAAAACAATGTTGAATTTCAGTTTTCACACTAGAAAACTCTAGATTAATGAACGAATACATTCCGGTCACAGACAGTAACAGAGGTTACTCTGGTGGTCATCTTCCAGTTTTTAAACATTGCACGGGTATTTCCTTATTAATTTAATATAATGGATGACTGCAAAACTCTTGTCCAACATTGGACAGACCTCAAATCTTTCAAAGGATAATTTATTGTATATCTGTTGCAACACATAATGTAGTGAAAGGTACAATTTTATAGTTCTATTGAGAAAAACATATGAAAACCACGGATGATACCTTGCCAAGCATCCGGCCAATGAAGTAGTAGTGGGCATGGAAGTCCTCGTGCAGCAGGTGAGCCGCGGGGTTGGGGTACAATGTGTTCTCCCGAGTCAGTAGAAAGAATCCTCTGTTGGGATCGAAGGAACTTTTGAGAAGCTCAGACAAAAACTCCCTAAAGAGGCCTCCACCGTCCACACCAGCTTCCACGGCCCCTGCAGGGTTCAACAACTGCACGCGTAATGATAGTCGCATGTTGGCTTCATTCTGAGGAGAGAGCTTTTCGAAAGAGTCTTCGTAGATGTGGGTGCGCCGCACCCTAAGACTTATATTAGGCCCCACGTTGAATGCACTATGTTCCTGCGCTGAATTCCTGTCTTCTTGAACGAGTCTGAGAAACACTTCCGCTCGGTCCGTGAAAGAGAAAACAAACGGGAGCTCTTGCAGCAGCAGGGCTCGCACCTTCTCGTACATGGACAATTGTTTTGCGGCTTTATTTCCGCTTTCAGCCAATAATTGGTCACGCGTCCTCCAGCGCGTTGGCATGAAAGTTCGTCTTCTAGAGGCTCGGGCGCTGAGCAGGTTCCTGTATGAGGCCGTTTGGGGGACGTCAGGAAGTGACACACGTGTCGTGAGCCAATGTTTGGCGGGGCAAAACTGCCGACGAGTGTCGCGAAGATGAAGGTGGCGCACCACGTCTACGCAGCACCTGAAGCAATGGTCCCAAGTGGGCTTGTAAGACACGTCCGTGAGAGTAGACGCACGCGGGTCTGGGTGCGCTAACTCGGCGAGGCCCAAACACACGTCTCTCAGAGTGCCGCTTATGGTCACAAGTTCCGCTGCAGTGAAGGCAAAGCTCCCTGTGTTGCTACTCGAGTGATCATCAGACTGTTTCGTGATGTCTACATCTCGGTGCGACATGATGCTTTCAAACGTGTCTGAAAAGAAAAATACGATTAGTAAACACAAAACGAATCGAACGACTGATGTCGCAGCTAAGAATTTTTGTTGTGGAAAGAAAATAACCACGAGACGAAATGTGTAAAAATATTCTGTACATTAACATGGATTATCTAAATTCAACAGACCGAATGAATCGCGATGCAAGGAATACGTCGGTAGTGAAACGCATGTCATGACAGTATTATGAAGCATACTTCGAGTTTATAACTGCATTCATTAAAAAAATCAAGGTAGGCACGTTTAAAAAAAAATATATTTGCACGTTCTTCAGAAACATTTCCAACAGCTATTAACACTCAACGTATTTTTAACACCGTATTGAATACGGACAATCTAACTTCAGAAGTTAAAGGGCATTTGCATGAGAAAAAAAGTTCAATACAGCGGATCGCCGTCAAAATATATCTATCAATCAGTGCATTTCTCAGGATAATTTTGCTTGACCGTTTGAAAGAATTCGATTATACCTTCAGTAGAAGTAACGAGCTCCGAATCATGGAGTGTGGCAAGGACAGCTAGGAGCGCCGTGGCGAAGGACGCAAGTACGGGCACGAGCGTGTCCCGGTCCAGAGGCTCGAGCGGCACCCCACGGGATACAGTATCTAGCAGCCGGCGGCTCCCTCGGCCGGTCTTGTCGTTAGCGATGGTTGGTGCAGTCACCCAGCACGGGTAGAGGCTGGTCAAGAGTGACCACATGGCGCGCTGCATCTCGTGGCGACCCACCACGCCGTACAAAAGCCTTAAAAAATAAAACCCAGTTGAATAAGAATGGCAACAAAGAATTGAAAATACGAGCTTTATATTCACAAGTGGTGATTGTTAAAAATTTACAAGGCTCCATCTCACGTCAATCCTTTTTAAAATCGTACACTTTGAACACACTAGAATGTTGAATGGATGTTTGATACGTAAGTTGTCAAACTTTCATTTCAATGGCAATGCGAGCAATTGCGTTAGTTGGCGAATCACACAAATGAATTGCGATAAATGAGAATGGTTCATATGACACATTACCTGCATTGAAAAAGGCTGAGGCACGGAGCAGTGAGGAGAGTGTGGGTGAGGCCACAGAACTCTGTCAACACTTCCCTGTCCAACTTGGAAGCCTCAACTTCATCCAGGACCCAGCTCACGTACTCTGGACTGTTTATGTGCGACAAGCACCATTCACCAATTTCAGTGACTTTTGCAGGAAGACTTTCAGCCCCTCTCTGGCCGGTTGTTTGTTTGTCCGAGACCTCCACTTCTTCATCACTGTCTTCCTCGCTTTCACTTTCTTCTTCGTATACCTCTCCTCCAGGGATATTTGCAGTGGAAGGAACGCAATGCTTTTTTAGAGGAAGATAATGCGCGGTTTTGTGAACCAAGCGACGACATGCCAACAAGTACAACTGGAGGCTGGTAGTTGGAAGTGCGGTCTTGATTGGTAGTAATGTGAGTAGGACCATAAGCTGAGTAGGCGCACCTTCAGCTCCAACCTCCGCAATAGTAGAAGACGTATCCTCCTTGTGTGTTAGAGCCAGTACGTGATGGATCGCCTCGATGAGCGAGTGCGACGCGGACGGGTGACACAACAGCAGCTTACTGGACTCGATGCGCGGGGCCAGGAGATTATGTACTTGGCTGTATTTTGAATTTGCGAATAGCTGGTCCACTAAATGGTACAGAGTCAAGTTTATTAAATTAGCAGGGCACTGGACAGGTACGCCACTGAAGGCGTAGCAGAGTAGTTGACTTGTGCACTGTGAGCCAGTATAGTCTGTAGAGGCGCCAGGGTTTTGTTGAGAAGGAAGGTTAGCTGAGACTGGCACATTACAATAACTTACAGAGGAAAATACTTGAGTTCGGCTAATATTACCATCATCGCTTGACAGCTTGGCAGGCTTATCAGAATCATCAACGTTAGACGAGTCCAAATCCATGTACTCAACGTCTGACTGGTTCTCAGCTGGCAGGTTAGCGTAGCTGCAAGAAGATACTTGAGATTGTTTGGGAGCAGCACTGATCATTTTCACCCATGGCAAATTGGTGGCTATGACCGAATCAGGACTCCATTTTTCGGCCGCTCGCCGACACGTTGCAACCAGGAACAAGGGATAGAATATCAGGTCTAGGATAGACGTCGCCAAAGGAGAACTAGATATACCTCCTCGCTCATCAACTTCGGGGACTTTCTCTACCAACAATTTGATGAGATATTTGAAGTAACCTGAAAAGTATGAAAGAAATTATTATTCATAGTAAAATCTAAATTTAAATCACATTTTAAATCTTGATTCATTCAAGAGAAATGAGAAAAAGTAAAGCAATATTTAGCAGACTAACCGTAACATCAGTACCTCTGAGAATGCAAAATTAGGGAGGGAATAGCCTTCAGTTTAATCGCTTACCTTTGTCGATTAGAGGGATGAGGAAACCAAAAATGTAATTGGCCATCTTGGCAGGAGTCATCAGTGGTAAATTGTACCATGATTGGGGCTGTGTCAGCACCTCTAGTAAACGTAGTGGCCCAGCATGACTAACAGTATCTGCTGAATCTGAAAAATAAATTAAAAATCTTTTGTCATTTTTACGCATTTTAGGTAAAACTTGACTACCAAAACCAATAGCAACATAATTCTGTGATAGAAACTTTCATATGCTGATAATAATTTTTTATTCATTTGTTACTAATGCATTTGATCTGCAATCAAAGTGATCCAATTTGAAATCATTAGTTTAAGTAATATGCTTGGTAAGGTTAAATTAACAAATAACCTTGTATGCATAATTCCATAAAATCCATTCTGATATGTAGATGAAGTAACTGTCCAACAAATTTAAAACAAATTGCCACATTAAAAGCAAATAACCAAATAATGAAAAATAATTGAAAATAAACAAGGCAGGCAAATCCAATGAATCAACCATAACCTATGGTTGATTCATCTTGAAAATTATTAAAGACATGTTGCTAATTGATGTTGCCAATACAGTGAGCCAAAATCTTTTCAAGTAATTGAGTATATGTATAATTAGCTTGTAAATGGAGTGCTGTTACCAGAAATAGTTTTCAGAGAGAGGGCACTGAGCTTGGAGAGCAGTAATAGCCACACGTTGGGATGCTGCATCACCCACTCCAGCAGATGCGAGCTTTGCCTCACCAACAACGTACACAAGAATGACTGAAAAGGAAAGAAAACTTTTAGTGGAACTGTTCTGAAAGCAAAGATAGCTGGAGTTGACATTAGGAGCACACAAATGGGATTTCAAGTTCTAATTTATCAAAAACAAGTACCAAAAATTATGGAATAACTAAAATAATGCAGAAAAGAGAAATTACATTAATGCCACATGATTTAAATTTATTTCAAACTATTTGAATGGCAAACATGTATTCAAAACAAAAAACATACAAATTTTGAGGCAAAAAATATACAAAAAAACATCCCAAAAAATTTGTTGATCATGATTTTGCTTCATATTCAAGCTTCAAAATGTATATATATATATAACATTATTGAATAGAATCTGATCTTGTTATGTTGGAAAATTTCAAATTTTTGGAGTATGACTATGAGCAATTAAATATTTATACATCTCACTATAATGTAGCTCAAGTACCTAGTTATTTACCAGGAATAGTTTTAACTAAAACTCACCAATCTGTGAGCATCATGCTTCATACGGAACATCCTTATAATTCTCAAACACTGTGTCCTGGCCACATCTTCAGCAAGGGGAGTAGGTTCCTGCTGAAGTGTTTGATCATACAACTGGCGGTACATCTCATTGGTGTGCACACGACATAGCCATCCCCGGACAAGGGCTTGCACCCGAACTGCAGCAATTTCCCGTTTCCTGTTGCTCTGCAATAAATGATGAAATGATTACTTTGAAAATTGCATTTTCTGACATTTATCATCTCAATGAACATCTTGAAAAAATTTTGATTGATACCAATTTCAGGTGACTCCATTATCTACAGTTGATCCCTCCAACCAATGCAATTAGCTGCTCACCTGTTCTTTCATACCCAAAGCCATTACTCTCATCTCTGGTATTCACATTCACTTCCAGTATACTTTTTTCTTTCTTGTATGCTTCACATTACATAGCTATGAGTCCATAGCTTTCTTTGCAACACCATCAGATAAAAACACTCATATTCTATCCTCTCATTCCATGTAAATGCAAGTCTATTCATATCACAAATAAAGTTGCTTTTGCACAAAAAAGAAGTTGTTAAATGTGCTATCATCATATACATACATACATACATGCATTGAGCACTAGCAGTCACCAAAATGATAAGCAGGGGGGACACAGAAATGAATTTAATATGCTGCATTGAGGAAGTAAGATAATAAATCCACAATTTTTTCACACATCATTCAAGTAACAGCAGTTGAAATTCATGAGAATAGAACATTTAATAACATCATGCTCATTTTTTCTCCCTTAGAATATTCTAAGATGTCAAGTGTACTAAGTATCTTTTTTCTCTCTATACACTTTTCAAGAAATACACATATATACTGTAACACAATTTCTCTAATAAGAAATGCAATGAAAAACCAAATAAAATTAAATCTAGAGCAAGGACTACTACACACAGGACATGCATAGCCTATGTCCAGCCTCTGCTAGCAGAGGCGATCGCCTACACTATGAAAATGCTGTTGTTTTAGTGGCATCAACAAATGATATGCCCATAATTGTTTCATACAATAGTATTACAATGTGTGTAGTAGTCCTTGAAAACTGGCAAAAAGTCTATGGTTCTGACCAAGGACTACTACACACATTGTAATACTATTGTATGAAACAATTATGGGCATATCATTTGTTGATGCCACTAAAACACCAGCATTTTCATAGTGTAGGCGATCGCCTCTGCTAGCAGAGGCTGGACATAGGCTATGCATGTCCTGTGTGTAGTAGTCCTTGATCTAGAGAATACAATTCATAAAAATCTTAATTTTTCCAATCACACCATAGAATGCTAATAGTCTTATGATTTTTTCTCACCTCTCGTGATTCTCTCTCTTTTCTTAGTTTTTCCAGAAAATCTGCTTTTCCCAATACTCGACTGGCACCACTGAGGCTCACATTGGGCTTCTTGCGGTGCTCCCCCTCAAAGCTATACATTTTGTGTGGTTGATAAACTTGATAATCTAAGATTAATTTTAATATATTAAAAAAATATTAAATTCAAATCCCTACTAGTATAATATTTTTAACAGCAATCATGAAACTGGAATTAAACTTCTTGAACAGCAGTTTGTCATAAATAGTCTGAAATGTTCTATGATGTGAAATCAAATTTAAAGAGCTATAACCATACTATTAGACAAGCATGAAATTTACTTTAATAGAGAGAGTTATTAATAATTGAAAGAGGCAAACAGAGTAGAAAAGACTTAGTTATTTGGCAAACTTTTTGAAAATTTTAATGCAAAAATGAGGGTTTCAAGTGTTACAAATTTACTAAAAGAATGCTGCATTTTAACCCTTTTGTGACTGACAGGACTTCTTGGTTCCAAAACACTAGGTACAAATAACATTAATGACTGTAAGTGTATCCAAAACAGAAGGGGTAATTAATAGCCAGGAGTAATATGATGCAAGGGCCATTGAGGATGTGGGTAAATGGCAGTTCAGACTAGTGGAACACCCTATTGGTAATTTCCAAGTGAAAATTATCATATTGCTCATTACTGATTTTTATACATAAATGTGCAGAACATCTTGCATAATTCATTAAAATTATATGGCAAGTGGTACATATATATGAATAAAAATATTATTTTTTCATTGCTATATGCAACACTTCCTACAACAGTATTAGACTTTGCTAAAATAATAATTTTTTACAAAATAGAAGTTATAGAACATACAATAAAATGGGATAATAAGGGATGTTTTTGAGAGTTTTTCATTAATAACTTCTTACCATGAAATATTTCATAAACAAGTTTGAGCTCATTTTAAAGGTCTTTGTAAGGGCTTTCATATGGTACCGTCAAACGGGGTAAAAAGAGACGGGCGTGTTAATAAGTGACAGTCCTCCAACATTTCTTAGAAATGTTGTACCGTAGCAGCTCAACTACCGTAATTAAAATATTGCAAAACAAAAAATATTGGCATAAAGTTCAATTTTTTTCCTATCTATATAGCATAAAGCAAGTTAAGAAATTATACATTTACTACCCGTACCTCTGAAAAATCCTTGGAAAAAAGTGTGAAAAGTGAGATTTTGGAAAAGTACCATACCTCTGCTAAGCAGCTAAGGTCTGTAGCAAAAAATTATTCACTGTATTTAAAATTTTACTTAGGGTAAACTCGGTATTTCCGACATCGTGGGTAATTCTGACACTTCTCGACTTTTTTCCTTTATCTTAAGCTTTTTCTTAATTCCATGCATTCGTTGATGGTTGAAATAGTGACATCATACTTTTGCGCGCCATACTATTGCCAAAACACTAGGTCTGGGCCAGCTGGGGTAAAAAAGACCATCGATTTTTTTAAATTACATCAAAACTATAAGAGGCAGGAGCCAGCAATTTATGGTGAGTGAAGCTAGAGTATAGATCTGTATTTTGCACGTTTCAATTTAAGTTTAACTTATCTAGTGAAAAAATGGCATCATTAAAAAAAAAAAGTGGTCTAAGTTACCCCAGTTCACGGTAGTGTTCTAATTCCAAGCTGTGTCGTATGACATATTCCAATACAGCTCACACAGCGATCGGAATTCGAACACAAGAGTGTCGGCATTACAAATTAGTAGAGTTTGAAGCACAGCCAGAATTAGTCATACAAAATGCCAAATTTAGTCACACACAGTGTCGGAATATATGGATTTAGTTGGTTTACATTCTAAAGGCTTTTAAATAAATATGGCAACATTTTGTGACGTTTCATTGTTGCTGGCGCGTAGTGCGGTGTTTTGAGAGTGACATAAAGCAAACAGAACTAGAGTTGCGCGAACAGTGTATTTTTTATAGCCATTCATTTTTTGCTATGTCCCTAAAGTGTCGGAATATATCGCGTTTACCCTACATAAAAATTGCACACAGGTGTTGGCTTAAAAATGTGATTTACAGTAAAAGCGTACTATCTCATTCCATAAAAAACTGGTGCCATTTCCACACAACAGGGTAATAAGAGAGTAACAGGGTAATACTAATAAGGGAGTAACAGGTTAATAAGGGAGTACAGGGTAATAGTCCAAGCCTCCAAGGGACACCTCTAAAAATGCATTTACAGTAGAGGCTAGGGTAAACGCGGTATATTACGACATCGTGGGTAATTCCATCACCTCTTTAGTTTTTCCTTTATATTAAGCTTTGTTTTAGTTCCATGCATTCGTTGATGGTTGAAATAGTGACGTCATACTTTTGCGTGTCAAACTACTGCCAAAACACTAGGTCTTGGCCATCTAGTGGGAAAATATTGAGATCCAAAGAGAGACAATGCATGCCACGTGGTGAGATCATCGAAAAATGTGTCAAATTTGACAGTTGACAT